AGCCGTTTAGGGTTTCAGGGTTTAGGGTTTAATTAGGGTTATAATTAAAGGTCACCTACTCAGCCCCTCAGACAACTACACAGATCAAGAGTTCCCTAAACCCTAAACCCTGAACCCTCAACCCTGGCCTCTGCTGACTCGTCATCGGTCCGACCGACGCCCCCCTCGTGCCGGCCAGGGCTTTGGTCCCCTTTTCCGAGATCTTTGCCCGTGTGGCTGTGAGCCCAAGGCTTCCAAAGAGGGACCTTTTGGGCTTAGGGTTTCGGGTTTTGGGTTTCGGGTGTAGGAAACTTCGGATTTCGGGTTACGTGTTTGAGTTCTCAACACTGCGGGTGTCTTGTTTCACATATGGATCCTTTTAACAACAAGGCTGCAACTTCGCGGCAGCCTTTCTCTGAAACTCCCACACGAAGAGATGCTAAATTTCTCGACTTTAGGGCATGGGGCTTCGCTCTCACACTCATGTATTGAAGACTTGGACCTTTGCAGACAGGCAAACTCCATTTTCCCCAGCGCCGCATAGCTTGCTTTGGCAATCGCTGGGTCAGCATGCAGGAAAATGACGATGGGGTCTTGTCCGAACCTTCGAGCACGTGTCAATGGCATTTTCGCCCTGAAGAAAGACACGCACGAAGCCCTAAACCAACCCCATAAACCCTAAGCTGCTAATAAGGGACCTGAATAATTGGAATCAGGTTTTGGGGTATATTATACTATAAATATAATAAGGCACCCTCAAAATAGTATTGGTAATTATTTAAGGCCCCTTGTATGGAAGACCATTGGCTATTCACTTTGGACAACTCCACAGCCCGTTCAGGCGGGGTCAACGGTGCGGGGGGGTCCACGTCTTGGATAGTGGTGGCCAAGAGAGCCCAATACCCCGAAAGTCAGGAATCTAGCTTAAGCTGTAAGGGATTACATATTAAGGTATATTGGGCTCTATGGGCATACCACAGAAGCCGCCAAAGCTACCCAGAAGTCGAAGGTTGTTTGCTTTCGGTATGTTTCGATGGCTTGCAAGAGATGCATTTTGCCACCCCCTATATTTGTCCGACAACTCCTGCAGCAAACATTTCTTGCAACCGCTCCGCCCCCCTTTCCAACAAAAACAGAACAGCTACACCCTAAATCCTATATAGAAATATATATACATATATTATATACACTACACCGACCCTAGTACCTACGTATAAACCTGAATTCCAAAATCCAGCAAAGGAGCGCCTAAAGGTCGGACTCTTCGAGGAAGATCTCAGGGTGGGCGACGCAGACCGGTCGCACATCCCAGTTGTAGCCTTCTGGCTCTTTAGGGTTTATAAGCGAATAGGTTGAGGGTTACGGTTCTGTCGCCTTCTGGCTCGGAGTTGGGGGTTTAGGGTTTCGGCGGTCCAAGGTTTTGGTGGTTCTGAGAGTTTATAGGGTATGTAAGGGTATGTAGACTGTTGGCTTGGAGCTTTTATTGTTAACAGCAGAACGCACGATTACTTTTGTTCACGTGAGCCAAGCAGGTAGCGTAGGTATAGTGCAGTATACGCGTACAACTACAGTAAAAACACCCCCCCCTGAGCGCAGCGGAGGAGGCATACAAAAGAAACTACGCTGCACACTGTTGGCAGCTCACGCTTTGCGTGGCGTGCAAAACAAGTGAAGGCTTTGTGACCCCTACTCAGAGTCATACCGACCCTTCAGGGTGGTGTCGCAAAGGCGGTGCGATCGTGTGCTGAAAAATGACCAACACGCCTGTGCGGTGCAATGCAGAAAATGTTTTTTCCGCAGCTGCCCCTTGGATCACAGCGCCCGCGCTTGATGTTGTGCAGGTGTTGACCAGCACCTTCCGGTGTTGGACGCCGTAGCGCATGGCATCTTAGTAGATGTGTGGTAAGGCACGAATGTTTGGGGGTCAGCACGGTACTCATTCCATCCATGAATGAACCAAACGACGTGGTGCGAATCATGCTGAACCAAGACCCTCAGGTCGGTGTAAGGCGGAATCACAGACGGAACATTGGGAGGAGAAGCTTCTCCAAGGTGAGCAATGCCTTCGTCACACGCATTAAGATACTTCCAATTGCCATCGGTGTTGGCAGGACGGCATGGGGACCTTGCGCTTGCACGCCCTGCGGCGTCTGTTGCATCATAGCCGGGTGGCGGCGTGTCGGGCCTCATGTGGCGTGGCGGAGATACTGCGTGGTGGCACAGCAGGTGCTTTCGGCCTGGACTCGCCGGCGACCGCCAACCCTCTGGTCTCACCCATGCCCGCAAAGAAATTGTCCCAGTCTGCAGCAGAGATGCAAGAATCGTGATCACGACTGGCGCCAGCCCTCGGACTTGCTTTTGGTGCAGGAGGGTGGTGGCGTTGCTGGTTGCCCAGCTTTGGGTGCACTTGAAGGCATTGGCTGATCAGTGGAAGACCCAGGTGCTCCGCCAGGACACTGACCACGCGAGCTGCCTTAGCAGCAGGAGAAACACTTCCAGTCCTGCCGGCTGGATGGAGACGGCGGTGGTCGAGGAACACGCATGGAACCTGCTGGCGTCGCTCCTTGACAATCATCGAATTTTCCACCGTCTCATTCAGCCAGCTGAGCTTACGATCGACAGAGAAGCGAGCGTCCTTGAGGAGTGCAAGCATTTGACTCCTGCCCATGGTGCCCAGAGCAGCAGGCACTTCAACGGGTGTGTTCCTGACTACAACATCAAGTGTCAAGCTCATCCTCCTTTCCTCATAGGTGAGGGCATATCCTCCTTGTGCACGGAAGCGCCTGGTCAAACCGGCCATAATCTCACGCACAGTCCCCGTCAAGGGCTGGACCTCCTGACTATCATGAGTCAAGATGGTGAACGGATCAGTGTTTGGATGCAACTCCTGGGCGAGCTGAGTTGCCCGAATAAGCACTGCTGATTTCGGTCATCAGATAGAAGCGACCTTGGAAGCAAAAGTAGCAGTGCTGGGCAAGCTCAACATAGGCTGAACCGTCACGATTGTTGAAAGGAGGAAAGATGTATGCAACACGAGTGTCAGCCGTGTGGGAACCCTGGAAGGCCCGTTTAGCCTCACTTCCACGGCCGGGATTCGGGATCCTCATCCGCGCAGACACTTCGATTTCCTCAATAGACCGAAAAAGTCATGCCTTTCGACATGAAGTTGAAAGCAGCGAACGGTTCCTCAGCCATTCGACGAGGCATGTCTGCACAAGGACTCTCTGCCGTCTTAGCGCCAGCCCTTCAGTGTCAAAGCGCATTCGCGCATTGAGACCGGATCTCGGTGCAAGTTACATCAGGCCTGTGTCATTGGCGCCTCGCAGGGCTTTCGCCCCCAGATCCGAAAGCTCAGCGAGGTGAGAAATGTCACTCGGGTTGAAACCCTTGCTTACAACTGCACCTGAAACAAACAAGGAAGCCATCCATCATTTCGAGACGACATCTGTCGTCTGGGCAGTGTTCTTCGGGATAGCAGACGTTGAGGCAAACGGTGTAGTCACACCTCTCAGCACGTCTCGCGCACTGCTTTGACAAGCCCACCCTTGAGAACCAAGCCTGTGCATTGCATCAAGGGTCCACTCTGCCTGTGCCCCATCAAGGGAGTGTTCTGCTCAAGTTGTCGAAGACGCCCTACTCCCGGGGGTGCGCAGGTCCGGGCCGGGCATGTTGTTGTGATACCAAACGAACTCGACCCAATCAAGGGACTCGTCGCCAATGGGGTAAAGCTTGAAAACATACCCGGCAATGCATGAAGCGCCGGCTCCCACCGCCCGATGTATGAGGTCAGTGTTGAAAACATCCCCAATCTCGCCTTGCTCCCGGTAAGCCTTCACAGCTTTGCCGACTCGGGCGCGAGTGAGCTCATAGGAACAATGGACCCGTACACACTTGCCAGTTAGTCGGTCGATGACAAAATTAAGGAACCGGTTGGAGAGCCAGTCTGGCGTCTGCAGTTGTGCTTTGGTCTCGAAAATGCGACACCCTTCCAGGCACGAGAGCTGCAAATCGATGTCGAACTCAACCTCCGCCCCTGCTGGCGAAGCCAAAGTGGTTCCTTGGCCATCATCGAAAATGCCCTACCCGAGCTTCCGCCGAGTGTAACACCGCCTGGGATCAGGCCGTACCCGACCACGCTCGGGAAGTTGGACCAGAACGTTGCGTGGTAGCCAAACTTTGGCATGTAGTGTCCCAGTTGGGATGAAGGTAGGCTGTCACTCCGAGGCATGGATACGTCGACAGTGAGGGCTCCCATGCATCGCAAACAAATGAAAGGCTCGGTGAATGGCTGTCAAATCACACTCCTCCGAGATGAGATTCCGGTTGTGGCCTTGGAAGGCACTGGGGGAACCTGGGAAACACGACCTTTTCAGCCTCCTTGGCTTTGGGTTTGATTCTTCGTGGTTTCCTTGTCCTCATCGCCCTCGTCCTTGTCCTCGTTTTAATTGCTGATAACTGATAACTTTCTTCAATAGCTTCATTAGAGCGTTGTTGTCAATAGAGGACGAGGAGTCGGACGAATCATGTCGTTTGTTCTTCTTGTTTTTGTGTTTATTTCCTTTCTTCTCCTTGTCGTCCTTGGCCTCAGCTTCATCACCACGGTTACCTTCCGGTTCCGGAGCTTCAGGCTTTTCTGGAGGCATTGCGATGTTGTGCGTACGTAGTCCCGGGGGTAATTCGGGACCATGCGAACGACCAGGATGGGCAGTAGGGGAAATGTTTCTTGCCTCGGTTTCCCCCAAGCGACGTCTGAGAGACTCGCTGTCGACTCCTCGCATTTCCATTCCCTGCTGCTGGATTCGCATCATCTCTTAAAACTTTCATCATCGCGAGCATCGGTCTCATGGCGATTCTCCTTAGCCCTGCGCTCGGCCTAACCTGGGCAAAAACAGCATTGGCTGACGCCTCAGCATCCACCAAACGGGTGTGTAGCTGCTGAGCTTGCTTCAGCTGCCAAGCTGGCTTCCGTCTGATGGTGGGATACTGCCTGTCTACTTCCTCCCAAAGCCTAATCTGATTCTCGACACGAGCATGCTCCAGCCTCAGCTGTGCGACTTTGCTGTTAGCAGAGAGCTCCAGACTCGTCATTTGCTCCCTGTTTTCACTTTGGAATCTCGTAACGACCTCTGCATGCAGAGCGTTGGATGAGAGCGTTGGCGGCTTCCATCAACAAATTGCCGTCGTTGTTGTAGATGGTACTGTTTTGCGGGTTGTACGTCTGGCTAATGGGCGTAGGGGCCAATGTAGGTGCATTAACGGAGATATAGGTGGGTGCCACAGTCGTGGGTCCAGGACTAACCCAAGGCCTTGACGTCACCAAAAATTGGTGCTAACGTAGGCATGTAACCTGCATTTGCATCGCTACGTAGTGCTGCTTCAGTAAGAATAACCTGACCCTCCCGGGCTGTGGAGATAGGAAGATCCGTGCGCAGAGCCGACCTGGAGCGGGCAGACTCCGTATCCATTCACAGGTTATATCATCATCGGGTATCGACGTACCTGCAGGATTTGGGGGAGCGATGGCATCCACTGCACTAGAAAACTACGGCGAACAACCTATTTTTGACAGCAGAACGCACTAATACTTTTGTTACACTTGAGCCAAGCAGGTAGCGTAGGTATGGTGCAGTATATACTTACAACTACAGTAAGAACAGATATTGAAAGCTCTCGGAGTTTGGGGCCTAGGGCTTTGAGGGGTTAGAGCTTTGGGGCTTTAGGGCTTTGAGCGTTTGGGGCTTGGGGGCTTTAGGGCTTTGAGGGTTTAGGGCTTGTGGGCCTTAGGGCTTGGAGGGGTTGGAGGGTTTAGGGTTCAGGGTTTTACACTGCAGGATTGACTTACGCCTTCTGGCTCGGAGTTGAAGGTTAGTGCTGATAGCGTTTAGAGCTTTGGACGGTGGTTCTACAAGCCTGTTGTGGTCTTGGAATTCACGGTTTAGGATCCAAAGGACCTGATAGAGATATTTTGGATGATTATTACCCTTACAGTAGGGTGATGGTTTAGAGCTTAAAGGGCTGAGGGTTTAGACTAGAGGCTTTGATTGTTTAAGGTTTAGGTTTCACGTTCACTTCCACGGTTGGAGTTCAGGGTTTTTGAGGCTTTACTGATTGGGTTGACAAGGCAGCTCACCGGAATTTCTTTGGGGTGTGATTGAGGTCTGCAGGACTCTCATGACCTATACCTTAAGCCATAAACCCAAACCGGCTAAGATCAAACAATGCCTTAATCCATGATTTGCTGACCTTCTCGGTGTTGTTTGAACGATCCCAACCCCACAGCTCCCAAATTTCAAAGCATTAAACGTTTAAGCCTTAAGCCTTGACACCCCGGAAGGCTCAAAAGATACCCCGAAGATCCGGCCTCTGTCGCCTAATGTTAGGAGCCTAATAAGCCCGACAGAACCCTGATAACAGATCAAAAGACCCCTATGATTCCCTTACAGAACCACCCGATGCAACCTGATAGCACCCTTATACACTCTATAAGGCCTTTATAAAGACTATCAGAACAAGCCCCATGTGCAACTCTTTAACAGCCCTACGTGACCCTAAACCCTAAACTCTACACCCTATAAACAGGTACTGTCATGGGGGATCCCAAATCAAAATAAAGGATTCCTAGTACGGAACCCCTCATTCTACTATGTCCTCAACCCTGCCTAAACCCTAAACCCTAAACCCTACTTTGGACCTGTTGGGAAAGCAAAAGGCCGCCTGGGAGGACGCTCTGGACATAGACCATGTACACGTAGACCCAGACGACGGCGAACGCTACCTCTCGGTGCGTAATCTATAGGCCTTCATAATTAGAATAAGCATAAATATAATATAGTATAAGGAACCCCCAAAATAGTAGTTATGGGTAATTAATGATTTAGGCCTGTATATTACTGGAAGGATTTAGGGTTTGGGGTTTGGGGCCTAGGGTGGGTAGTAGCAGCCATAAAGTCGGAACATGGGATAAGGATGACTAGTGCTGCATTCCCCTATATTCTAGGGTATGAAGATAAGGATGTTCCAACTTGTTGGCGTCTCAATGGTGCCCTGAGCCCTAAACCCCACACCGCAAACCCTAAGCTGCTAAACCCTAGACCCTAACCCTAAACCCAAAACCCTAAATCCAAAACCCTAAACCCTAAATCCAAAACCCTAAACCCTAAACCCAAAACCCCAAGTCTGGAGGATGTCGGGAATTTGGTCTCAACATCGATCAGTTCGACTTGGGTTTAGGGTTTAGGGTTTAGGGTTTAGGGTTTTTCCCCCCTGAACTGATATGGAACGGCATATACCCCGTGGTAAATTCGACAGTCTTATGTGGTGCCCCTTTCAGGTTTATGCTATCTTCAAGGGTAGAGTGCTTTTGGGGTTTAGAGACCCCGTCTCCGGATTTGGGATTAGATGTTTTATTCTGCACCAAGCCGGCACATTCAGGAGCACTCAATGAGTATTCCATCGACCTCAATGTGCATGCTTCAATCAATCCTGTGACTTTAGGCTCTTATTCCCTAGAAACACCTATGCCAAGATCAAAGGCTGGTACATGCCGTAAGCAAGACCAGAGCCCAAACCATAAAGGGATGCTGCAGTAGCTCTTTTGAATTTAACGCCTTGAGCCCTAAACCCTAAACCCCAAACAGCGAAATCCGAGACAACAGAGCCTAAAGCTTGAACCTCAAACCTAGTTTGTGATTGTTGCAGCCGAGCGGCCCACATCAACGAAAGCAGCAAGCTTTTGATTGATCCCTTCAACCTGAGTGTGCAGGCTCTATTGGGGTGATAAATCTCCGAAAACAAGAAAAGCCGAAGCGCACTGAGTGTTTCAGGACTAATGGGCACCAGCTACAAAGTCACAAGCGGCAGGGGGCAGAACCTAGGGCGACTCGCCTCAAGACGAGAAGACCCTGCGGGGTGGGCTCCGGGTTCAAGAGGTGCGGAAAACCCTGAGACCCCAGCGTCTGTTCTACACCCTAGACTAGAGACCCCCCTAACCCTAAGCCCCAAATCCCATAAGCCCAAAACGCGCACAGCCTTCCACCCCAGAAGCCCCACAACCCCCTTGTGCAGGCGGCAGGAATTAGGGAGCTCCCTTCAACATAGAGCTCAAGCCCTGTTCTGACCATGAAGGTGCTCATAGTGAGTACAACAATTCCAACAACCCCACAGACTACGATCAAATGCTATTAAACACAGTATACAAGCTAATAAGATCTCATAACAGAAACAACACAAGCCCTACTAAAGCCTTACACAACCCTATGAAACCATAATAAAACCGAGTAAAATACCTTCATCAAGAACACAACCTTCCTTTGCATCCAACCCTGCCCGAGTTTGATCGGCAGAGCGGCGGGGCAGCAGCCTTTTCACCAGCCTGCAAGGCAGTTACGAGCAGTCAGGTTCTCGTTCTATTCGGTTCCGCGAACCTCCATGACGTAGTCTCGAAATGCCGGATGTCTGGTTCTACCACGTTTTTGCCACAAGTTTGCAATTGTGCTGGGTTGTGCGTCGTCTTCCCACCACCTTCTTGTGCATGTCTGCCGCCGGAAATCATGCTCCTACCAGTCCCGCGCACATGTGTTGCGCGACTTGTGCTTTACGCCACAATGTTGTGCTTGTTCTTGGGTGCCAGTCATACTCCCGCCACGCTGATGTGGTGGTCTTGTGAGACAGGGCTGCTCTCTTGGAATTGGCCTTGGCTATAAACTGCTCGGCGCCCTGTCTCGTTTCAGCCCTTTAGGTCATCGGAGCCCACCGTGCGCCTTATTTTACATCACCAATCGACCGGCTTACCGCTATCTACAGTTCACACGACACGACAGAGGAAATGTGGATGTTTGCATTTTAGGGGTTTAGGGTACAGGGCTTCTGGCCTTGGGTTTACGCTCTGGGGAAGCAAAAAGAAGCCCAGAGTACAACGAGCAACTCGTCAATTCCCCATGCTTGCTGTTGCTTGCATTGACGTCGCTGGCGCAGCATCCTACACAATACCCTAAACCCTACACCACAAACCTTAAACCCTAAACCCTAAACCCTAAACCCCCAACCCTAAACCCTAAACCCCCAAACCCAAACCCTAAACCCTAAACCGTGTCACAAGATGTGAGAATCCCAACACTGCCGAGACACCGTGAGCATGGTCTCCTCGGTGAGCCTCGTCGCAGTCGACAGTAGGAAGGGTGCAGGGGTTCTTTTTGTTGGTTTAGGGTTTAGGGTTTAGGGTCCAGGGGTTCTGTTCTTTTTATGGGTTTAGGGTTTAGGGTCCAGTTTTTTTTTTGGTTTAGGGTTTTATGGATTTTATGGTTTAGGGTTTAGGGTTTATGGTTTAGGGTTTAGGGTTTAGGGTCTAGGGGTTCTTTTTTTGGTCGATTCTTTTCCTCCTCGCCTAGGGTCGGTGAAATGCGGGTTCAAGGTTTAGGGCTCGGGGGCCACACCTTATATCCCCGCTCAGAGCCCGTAAAGGAATCCACCCTAAACCCTAAACCCCTAAACCGTAAGGTTCACGACGTACAAGCATCTGCCCTGCTCGAGGATCTTTCACCCGGCTTGGGGTCTACCTGAACCTACCAACACCTACTATTTTGTAGGGTCACATCAAATTCTATAGTATAGGTTTGATAGTGGGGACCTACATCAAGAATGATGTAGAGTATGATAGTTTAGGGGAGGATTTGGAATTTGGGGGGCCTGTGGTGGCTTGGGCCCCAGATGCCAGAGATCACAGATATGGGGTTTAGGGTTTAGGGTTAGGGGCCGTTACAATACAAGGATGTATATTATGAGTATGATAACAAGGAACTTACTACTACGATTCAGTCATATCATACGATTTAACAGCGTGAAAAACAGTGGGCAAATGGAGCTGGCAGGAAATCTTGTCAGCTGCTGTCATACTACGAACGGCAATACTTCTCACGACACGAACGGTAACAACCAACCAACACTTCCACATTTACCAATGTCATCATCAGAATCCTAGGGCCGAATGCCGCGAACCCCAAAACTCGAAACTCAAAAGCCCAAGCCCAAGCCACCTCTTTCCTCGATCCGTCGCGAAGGTGTTGTAAAGCAGTTCGGGCAGCACAACCTGGGCACGTGGGTCGAAGGTTTCACGGTTTATAAGTTAAAGGGGTTCAGGGTTGGGAGTTCAAGATGATATTGGATCCTGGGTTTTTTAAATGGGTTCTGTATATGAATCCTACGTACTATCTTGAGGTTATGGGGTCAGGGCTTCTTCATCAGGTTCCGAGCTACTTTTATCAATTTGAGCATAGGGTCCAGGGCTTGTAGGGACCGGGAAAATGCTGCTTTTGTATTATGGTCCTCAAAGCATGCTGCAGGGCGTCACACTCTACTTCAGGCTTCAGGCTTGTCAAGCCGTGACAAAATCAATCAGCCCGGGTGTCAGTGGACGTATCAGACAGCACAAAATAAAGAGGACCTCTGAGTTCCGACAACGGTTATGATTGTAATCATGGCCACAAAGATGCACTTGTTCCTGCTGCGTCGTGGGAATATTGCAGCGGATGACGATGAGAAAGTTTCCTTCCGTAAGCCGTAAGCCAATTGCATCGAAACCCAAAGGGTCCTACTGTAGGTTATGGAGGATACTTCACCAAATCATAGTCGTGATTCCTAATGTAGCAACCCTACATTCGACTATAGAGTTACTTAGGACCCTTGCAAAAAACCCTAGACCAAAACCCCAAAACCCATAATCCTTCATCTTCTGCCCCGCCAGGTCCAAAGTCTCAACCTTGCGACGGGCGCATGTGGTTCTTTCCATTTTCAAGCCTTTTTTAGATCTAAAAATCCTGAAAAAAGTCATCTATTCTTCTAAAACTTCGATATTTTTGTGAATGAGCAAGGGGCCATGAACTCCAGAGCCAATGAGTTGAGGAAGAGGTCCTGCGGGAGCCCGGCCCGACTTAGCGTTTTAGGGTTTATAAGTTTCGTGGTTTTGGGTTTTTGGGTTTCGGGGGTTAGTTTAGTGGTTTAGGGTTTAGGGTTTTTTTTAGTGGTTTAGGGTTTGGTGATTGGGGTTCAGGAGTTTAGGTTTTAGGGTTTAGCTGCAGTCCTCTGGCCCTGCAAATTGCATTGTAGATGTGGACTGGCTGGCAACATGAACAAGTACATTTTGCGGTCAACACCAGGCTGTGTGCGAAACGGAATCACTAAGGAAACAGACTCGTGTCTTGTCGTCTTGAGTTCCTTGAAACAGACTACTGCTAAAGTGACTTCCATCTTCGCATGCTGAACCGCATCGCAGCGGATTCGACTACGTACAAGGTCAGAACTCCTTCCAAATAAGAGAATGGTCTGCAAGCTTCACTACGTCGGGTTTCCGACTGGACGAAACCAGTCCAGTGTCTCGGCCTTGAAACTAGAACGCTTCATCAAGCATCCAGTGGACCCCGCTCGCGACTGATCCCCGAGAAAATGTCACTACTTTCCTTGTGGCATGGCCTCGCTATCCCCTAAACCTTGTAGATCCTAAATGATCCGTGAACGCTCTCCTGGAGGTTGGCGGTCGAGAGAAGCCACCGGCAGCCAAGGTAGTTCAGCAACACCGCCGCAGCGATCCGTGGCAGGAAACAGAAGACGCCAATGAAAGCCTTCATGCCTCTTACGGGTTTAGGAGTTTCGGGCTAAGGGTTTATAGGGCTGATGTCGATTAAGGGCTTTGGGATAATCATGAATTTAGATTTCCCGTGATGTAGGGGTATATAATCGTTAAGGGATTAAGGGCGCAGGGCTTTGCTGTTCAAAACAAAAACCCAAAGCCCGAAAGAAAAACAAACACAACACCTGACCTCAAGCAGACTGTGGACCTAATCTAGGGGCTTAGGAAGTAAAACAGGGTTTCGCTAGACAGTCAGATCACATCGAAGATCCAAGGATCCCAACATCTCATGATCATGAGCAGGATGTACAGGTTAAGCGTAAGGGGCTCAGGGTTCTAAACTACAGACCCTAAACCCCTTAAACCCCAGAACCCCAAACCTGCAGCCGTTAAGCCCCAGAGCCCTCAACCCCCCTAAACCCTAAACCCCTCAAACCCCCTAAACCCTAAACCCCTCAAACCCCCTAAAGCCTAAAGCTCTGGGTCCGCACCCTTCAGGAATCCTAATCTCCGCGGATGCCTCTCGTCATACCGGTGATGGTCTTGTCCTAAGCTTGGGAGCAGGTCTTAACGGGTTGAAGGTCTTGGGTTTAGAGTTGCGGGTTCAGGGTTGAGGGTTTAGGGCTCAGGGTTTAAAGGGTTTATGGTCTGTGGAGTCCCACAATGAAAACCACGGTGGCAGGGATATAGACCCACGTCGCTAACCACGAGCAGAACGCCAGGGCACTTAGCAGGCCTCAGGGAAGACCTTCCTTCCAGCTCTTCAGGAGGCAAGTGATATGCTTACGGAGGCCTGAGTAATTCGACTAAGGACTTTCAAGGCTCGGGGGACATTATTCAAGAAGAAATAAGAAGTAACCGTAGAGAAGAATATCACTAATCATCCGAACTCCTATATCATGTCGGAAGTCGCTAAGTTGACCCACTGCTCAAAGCTTCTGAGGGGCTTGGGCTTGGGTTTGGGGTTTAGCCTTACGGCTCAGATCCACACCTAGAATCCTAAACCCTGGTCAGAGCCTACAGCCGTTTGCGATGCCTCCGGGTACCTCCAGACAGCAAGAAAGTTCTGTGGAGTTGGACAATTCGACGAGGTGCCTTCAGCACGTCTTCCACCACAAGGACCTGACTGTGAGGGCGGGGAAGGTCGCTCTGTTTGGTTGAGAGGGTTCTTTCAAGGATTCCTGCAAAGGGTTTCTACAAGATCTATGATGTGGGTTTTAGGGTGTAGTGTACGGGCCTTTATACCTAGACTTTCAGAACAGCGCTTTGGGGGGGGAGGGGGGAAAATCGCGATTACAACAAAGAGCCCCAATGAATAGTATTGGTACTGGCTTCAGCTTCGATATATATATATATATATAGATATGGCGGCACGGTGGGCCTGGGTCTCGGAAGCCCTGTTTCGCGGAAACCTACTACATGAACTCTGGGTCCCTTTTTGAAACCCTGCCCAAAAGCACCCTAAGATCGTAAACTCCTGAAGCGGTCAGGACCCTAGAATCTTACATTCCTGTAATCCAGCAGCGGTAAAGCCCTACACCCGGCTTTGTCGTTGCCTTCAGTACACCGGGAGACATCTACGGGGGTAGGTTTCGATAAGACTAACGAGCCAAGTACTCAAGCAGTGAATACTTTGGCCCAAGAGCGGCTCTTTTCTGACACGTTTCGTTGATGTTTAACAGGGCTCATTTTCGACCCTGTCCATTTCTTTACCGAGGCTATGGCCCAAAGCCAGAAGCACCCCGAAGCTCGAGCGTAGGCAATGAGGCCTACACGGGCCTGAAAGGGTAAGGGTCCTGAAGCTCGGGGTCTGGGTTTTGGGGTAGCCACCATCCTCCCTATCGCATGCTCTTGCGCTGCAGATGCCAATTTCAAACATCGATTCTTCCCTCCGAAGACACGAAGATCCCTAAACCCTAAACCCCTCCAGCCTCGACCCTAAACACTAAACCCACCCCTAAACCCTTAAACCTTAAAACTTAATCCTTTAAACCCTGAGTACCGATCTGAAGCTTGCGAGCTGGCCGCCGCCAGCGAACCAAAAAACAACGAGTTGGTGTACATCCCGATTTCCAGGCTGGAACACGGGTTTAGGGTTCAGGGTTTAAGGTTGAGTGTTTAGGGCTTAGTCGTGCTTAAACCCTCAACCCTAAACCCTATAAGCCCTAAACCCCAAACCCCATAAACCCTGAGCCCTACCGCTGGGGTTCAGGGTTTAGGGTTTAGGGGCCCTAAACCCTAAACCCAGGGTTTAGGGTCAGAACATCAGAAGTTCTAAGGCTGATAAAACCTAAACCCTAAACCCTAAACCCCTAAACCCTAAACCCTAAACCCTAAACCCTAAACCCTACTAGGTCTGGATCCTGATAGTTCCAGGTGCGAACCTAACATAGGGGCCTCAACAAGTCGAATAAGGTTTTGGGGGCTCCTTTAGAGGATTCCTTAAAGGGTTCTATAAGGGCTACTACAAGGGTTTAGGCTTTTTGGGGTTCCTTTAAAGGATTCCTTAAAGGGTTCTATAAGGGCTACTATAAGGGTTTAGGGTTTAGGGGCCTTGATAATTAAAGTAGGGTCTCGGGGCATATACATTTTACTATAACTATAATAAGGAACCCCCGAAATGGTATTGGTAAATTCTTGAGACCCCTATATAGTTTGGGACCCGTATCCAAAAGCCTCATGAAGCACCATAAGCCTAAGCCCTAAACCCTAAAGCTCCATACCCCTACCCTGCCCATAGGCCCCATCGTAGTTCCTTTTGGGGGCTCATATTTAGAATCCTATAAGATAATCCCAAAAGGGAACTACTATGGGGCCTATGGGTAAACCCTAAACGCTAGAGCCCACAGAGTCTCTCTTCCGACTGCAGCTTCGGCACCGTCGGAACCGAGAGTAGCGTGGAGAATAGTAGCCGAACTGCTCGGCGAATTTCTGCGAGGCACCTCAGCTAAACCCTAAACCCTAAACCCTAAACCCTAAAACCTAAACCCTAAACCCTAAACCCCAAACCCTTAGTAGTGCTTGAGTCAAGTTTTCCAAGGTTCAGGATTTTGGGACGCAAGGTTTAAAGTTGAGGGTCAGGGTGTCCGGGAAGAAGGGTACCGGTTTTAGGTTTAGGGGTTTAGGGTTTAGGGTTTAGGGTTTAGCATTGTTGTTCGCTGACAGCACTCAGCATACACAACCCTCCAGTGCTCCTCACTGGCCTTGACCACATCAAGATGAGGCTTTCTTGCTCACAGACCACCGCGCTTACGTTTACAGTGCCATCAAACCTTCGATATTTTCTCCATGACGAAACGAAACAATGTCACTTGATTGGGGTACGTACGACGGCTGCAGATCCAGGTGCGAAAGTCGGGTTTATCTGGAAAGCTGAACAGTGCAGCCTTGGATAGCTTTTGGACAGTTTGGGGCACATTGCGAGATGCTGTGGTAATATAGGGGCCTCAATAATTATACCTATACTATTATGTATGGGGGGGTTCCTTATTATCACTATGGTATAACGGGCTCCAAAACCCTATTCAAATTCTCATGGGTAGCGTTTGCACCTCTCCATGATGCACCCCCACAAAGTAGTAAGCATGTCATGGGCTCAGAAGGCAGTATTTGCGTCGCCCAAACTCAGAACCACGCTTGACAATAAAAGGACTTACAAACACTTATAGGGACTTATAAGGCTTTACCAAGACTTATTAGTGCTTAATAGAGCTTAACAAGCTTGAATAAGGCCTAATCGTTTGGGGGGGCGCATGCCTGCCACAGTTCAGGCTTCAAATCTAAAGGCATATTGCCCAAAGTTGTGGACGCCGCTTATCAGGCCTTAATAAGCCTTATTAAGGCTTATCAGATCTTACTAAGCCGAATTAGCGGTATCCATCTGCGGGGGTGCATTCTGGAGAGGCGCATAGTGGGCCCGTGAAATTCTGAAGGCCCCTATGTTAGGTATTTGCGGGCACGGGTTTGATGAGCTTGGGAACCCGGGGATGTCCAGGAGCAGGGGTTGGGGCTTCGGGCTTAGCAGTCAGGCATGACGATGCGTTAGGGCCGTTAGGGTCAAACGCGAGGGGCTTGAACAGAAACTAAACTTAAACGAGCTCAGCTGCATGTTTCATAGCTTCGTTCTAGAGCTTCGGGCTTAAGGTTTAGGTTCTAATTAGGACGTTCCGGACCCACAGCTTGCCCTGGAAGCCTTCCGAAATCTCGATGTTGGTCAGCCTTAACCCTAAAGTTATGAACCTAATAAAACCAAAACCCTAAACTCCGATTAGAAGAGTATAGGGTTCAAGCAGAGTTCAGGGTTGCACAGGTCCCTTATTGATTCGAGTAGGGTTTCGGTGTGCATTAATGAATATTATACTAGAACTAGAGAGGGCAGTAGATCGCTGGCCAAATGTGGGTTTACGATATTTTTGCAGCTGAAGGGGAGGAGGGCTTGAAGCTTGCGTGCCCTTCTAACTTTTAGAGTATTCCTTGGAGTCATATTTCTCATGAGAACCACAAACACTAAAAGAAGGAGCCGCGGCACGTCACGGTCCAGATCAGCAAGATGGTATAAGTGAAGTACGGCTGAGACAGAGGCACCTTCCAAGAACAGGGTTTATAGGGTTTAAGGAAGCCCTAAACCCTAAACCCTAAACCCTAGACCCTAGACCTAAATTAAAGGAAGCTACAGGTGGGGAGTTTAGGGCTTCTATAAGGCTTCTAGAAGGTATATAGACCTTCTATAAGGCTCCTATAACGGTATCTACTCACCTGAAAATGTCCTAGACTAAACCCTAAACCCTAAACGCTGAAAAGGCGTCTACCAGGGCCTTGAAGGAAACCCGCCTCCTCGATGCCGTGCTATGCGGTGATTCACGGGGGTTGTCTCAGACCCAGGCGTACCATATTTCTGGCACGCTTCCTTTATTTGGGGATCTATGTTCATCCTGGAGTCCCTTGTTTCCTGAAGCTTCCATCAATCTAGGGTGTCGGGGCACGCCAGGGATTCCAGGACAAAAAAGGACAAGGTTTCCCTCTAATGTAGAGGCCTCAATGATTAGAATAGGGTTTGGGGTATATTATACCATAAACATAATAAGGAACCCCCAAAACCCTACTCTAATCATTAAAGCCCCTATATTATAAACCCTAAACCCTAAACCCTAAACCCATGTTTCACTTTGTAGCGGTGCTCAGAACATCCAAGGACAAAGGTTCTGGATTCTCGGGTTCAGGGTTTCGGGTCGAGGCTTAGGGTTTCGGGTTTAAGGTTTAGGAGCTTGGGGTTTAGGGGTTTAGGAGCTTAGGGTTTAGGGGTTTAGGGTACTATCGGGGGCCTTGAGGGGAAAGTTGGTAGATTACACTACACTTGTACTAAGGAACACAATGGCAAAGAAAGTATTAGTACATATCCAGTCACCCTTCTTGTAGTACCCCAACCATCCCTAAATCCGAAGTCCTGAACCAACTCTAAACCCTAAACCTTAAACCCCTGAACCCTAAACCCCTAAACCTGCAGGGTTCGGAGTTCGGTTTCAGCAGCGGCACACTGCAGATCTCAACCTTCTTCTCCATGGACAGAGCCCGGAAACCTGGTCAGCGAAGAGTGTTCGATGAAGGCGATCCAGCATGTTAAAGGTTTATGCTTTGAACACACGTTTTTGTACCTATCTATCTATCTAGCTATCTATCGATCTATCTATCTACTTATCTACTTATCTACCTAAATAACTAACTAACTAACTAGCTAGCTAACTAACTAACTAAGTAACTATCTGTCTATCTATCTAACTATCTGTCTATCTATCNNTTTAGGGTTTAGGGTTTCGGAGCTCAGGGTGAATACTGTGGTAGGATTACGCAATTAAATAAATATACACACACATATATACATATACACACGTCGGTACACGTACACGTACACATACATAGACATAGGCATAGACATCGTATCTGTGTTTACACATGTGTACATACTGTATATATACATACACATATGTATGTATATGCATATGTATATGTATGTGTATATGCACATGCATATGTACATGCACATGTACATGTACATGTACATGTACATCTCGACCTATCTATCTATCTATCTATCTATCTCTCTATCTGTCTATCTGTCTATCTGTCTATCTGTCTCTCTGTCTATCTGTCTATCTGTCTATCTGTCTATCTGTCTATCTGTCTATCTATCTATCTATCAATCTATCTATCTATCTATCTATCTGTGTAGGTGTGTATGTGTATATATATATACACACACACCGAAACAACCAACAAACACTCACGTTGTTATTTCTGTCTCCGTACACCACCATATACTCTGTTGCACTGTTGATAATTATGATGCATAGAACATAACCCTAAGGGTCGAAGTACCCAAATAGTAGGGTTTCGAGGTCCAAAAACCATTCAGAGTATGGATTTTGGGACTTAAAACCTTACTATTTGGGTACTCTGGGTAATATCCTTAGCACTGCGCTTTGCAGGGTGATCTGAAAGCCGAAGCTGCAGGTCCGAAACCCTCAAGCTCAAACCCTTGGAGTACCCTCGACCCCAAATCGTAAAGCCTGAACCCTAAGTAAACCTTGATCAGACCCTAAATACTAAACATCCCTGAACCCTAAATCCCTAAGCCCTAAACCCTAAACGCTCACAGGAAGCCTAACCTTATTATAGTTATAGTATAATATATGACCCTACTCTCAGTCTCAAGGCCCCTAAACCCTAAACCCTAAACCCTAAACCCTAAACCCTTTATAGCAGCCCTTAAAGTAACGTGCCTGCCAGATCTGGCTCAGCTCCTGCTTTGCCCCGGTGGAATCCGTTGATCGTGATGTAGGTGTTCTGCAGAGTCGATTTGAGGCTTTAGGGCCAGAGTCTAGGGCTTAGGGTTCAGGGATTTTTAGGAGTTTCGGGGTTTAGGGTTTAGGGTTTAGGAGTTAAGGGCTTAGTGTTTAGGGTAGTTTTGGGTGTAGGGTTTAGGGCTTAGGGATTAAGGTGTTCTGCTACACTCAGGAGTTCTGCACGGGTACAGGGAAATCGGCGGTTACGGTAAGGTCGAGTGTCCAAAAAGGGTTCTATCAGGGTTTGCGGTGGGGCGGGGCTCTATTAATCCCGGTGCCAACCGTACACACAACTCTAGCGGCTGAAACTTCTGCGCTTCCACGGGCACTGCATCGCTGGACCCTCAACCCTAAGCATCTCAAAATCACCCTAAACTCCTGAATCCGAAATCCGAATCATCATCAGCTCCTAAGCTCTATAAAACCTACAACTACAGTGCGTGGACCCTTAGGGTAATTTAATCCCCCCCCCCCCCAGAAACAACAAAGCTAGGTCCACACCTCAAGCCCGACTCGCAACATGTCAGCCCTCAACCCTAAAACCTATAAGCCCTAAACTTTAAACCCTAAACCCTAAACGTTGAACCCTTAAACCTAAACCCTGTCTCAGGTGCTTTGCAACTGAGAGTTTCTCGAGAACGGAGGGCTAACGGTTTAGGGTTTACGGGTGTATAGGGATTGAGGGAACTGCAAGAATTCAACCATGCTGACTCTGAGGGCTTGCGCGATCGAATCGTTATATGCACATTCATTGGCGGTAAACCTATGGTATACATCTTGGTTTCCGACCACCCTACCGTTACAGACACTACGATTTCTTGCCGCTCATAGTGATGCCATTATTCTGCTGGCTACGGCGACGGCCATGGTCGTAGCCTATGGGAATCCGGGAAAAGCGGAGCTTCAGCTGTCGAATGTTGACGCAGGCCTCGCCGTATATCGCAACTTGAAACTCGTCGTAGACCCGACGGACTTGCCTCGGCAGCGGCATCGAAGCTACGACTTGTAAGAACACCAGCTCACAAACACGCAGCACTAACACAGGAAGGCGCGACCGTCCTTACCCGCCCTTACTTGCCTCGAATCTAGTTCTGATGTCGCTGGCCGAAGGCGAACATCTGCCACATGTTTGCAGCATTTACCCGAGAACATGACATGGCAGTGATGTGTGTGAGGGTCCGGTCGAAGTGGCTTAAACTAGCGGCGGCCGACTGGAAATCTTTTCGCTGGCCCGCACGGTTGGCAGACGCGGTCGTCCTTCAGCAAGCCGACTAATTATGGAGCAGAGATTGACCCTGACTGAACTGCTAGAGAGTTTGTCATCACGTACTACTTACCGATGACATGAAGCGCATTGCTTCGATAATCTTCCTTCACACGCAGAACTCCAATGCCCATGCAAAAGAACACACTACCAACATAGGACGTGCTCGACCCTCGACCCCGATGCGAGTCTCTTCCAAACTCTCCACCAATTCCGAAGTGATCAACTCTGAATATAAACGCTTACAGGGAGAAGCGGAGATCTGGGTACTGTGAAACACTCCCACTTGCAGAGTGGTACTGGGCATAGAGTCTCCACCGCAATCTCCATATCTCCAAAGCCCGAAAGCCCCAATTCACGATACCGCATCAGCCCCAAACACCCGAAATCATTCCCTCCCCCCCCCAAAGAACGACAACACACACACACAAAGCAACCCTAAACACCCTAGCATACGTGTAACAGCCCTCAATCCCTTTCGCCCTAAACCAAGCCCAAACTCAAAGCAACAGTCCCCTAACTGCAAGCCAACTCAAATCGCGAAAACTCTAAACCCTAAACCCTAAACCCTAAACCCTGAACCCATGAATCCACAAGGCTCAATCCTTAAACCCCAAACCTTCAACCCTACACTTCCAATTGGGAGCTCGCGCTGCCATCAACCCCAAACCCTGAAACCCTAAACCCTAAACCCTGAAACACTAAACCCTAAACCCTAAACCCTGAACCCTGAAACACTAAAACCCTAAACCCTAAACCCCCAACCCTGAAACCCTAAAACCCTAAACCCTAAAACTGAAACCCTAAACCCTCAAGCCAAGCTTCCGATTGGACTTCGGATATATTCATAGAGGTGTATTCCACTACAGCCGAGAGAAGAACTTAGGCACTTGGACTCTTCCGCTTTCGCCCGAGGCACCGCACTGCTGGCACGCAAAGCTTGGAGGACACGGAGTGCAGAAGAAAGACCTGTCGTTTCGGCATGGTTTAGGGGGTTTAGGGTTTGACGGTTTAGGATTCGGTTTTGGCTTGCAGCATCTGGTTTACAGCGTTGAGGGCCTAGAACGGTATGTTGTAGGGTCCCCACAAATGCTCTAGTAGAGTTACTTCTGAGGGAAACCTGCATAGTCTACTTCTATATAGGGATTAGACATGAAGATCAACTCCACCTGCCGTCCCTTGGACAGCTCTCCTCACTCGAAATTGGACTCAATATGTTTTGGAGGTTTCGGGCGTGGTTTTGGATTTAGGTTAAGGGCCAGGAGTTTCGGTTTCAGGGCGAAAGCCCAAGAAACTCACTGAGAAACGGCCGCTTCGCAATGCAAGCACATCACTTAAGGACAGGAGTTGGAGCGCTGTGCCTATAAAAAGTTTCTGGTGGTAGTCTGTGAGCTGCACTGTTTGCGCACTAGATTCACCTCAGAAGTCTGAAAGTAGTACGTCCTCGGCCGTAGATGATCCCAAGCCCCAAAACCTAAATCCTAAACCATGAAACTGCCCACCTGACCCTAAGCCCTAAACCCTAAACCCTAAACCCTTCCCACCTGCATTCCGATCACGGAAAACACAAGGAAGAGCGAGTGGAAGAGACGGAAAGCCTCGGATTCAATCTCTTCCTCCCCTTCCTACTCCTTACCCATAGGCCCCATAGTAGTTCCTTTTTGGGGTTACCTTATAGGATTCTAAATATGAACCCCAAAAAGGAACTACTATGGGGCCTATGGGTAGTTGTACCGTATCCTAGGAGAACTCTAAGTTGAGCTAATAGGAGTTATTTCGGGGTTACAGTGCACCAAAAAAGGTGAAAGGATACCTACTGCACCACGAACACTCGCTAGTTTGCTTGAGCTTACATCTGAGCTTGGTGCGTAGTTGGGCTTAGGGCTTAGACTTCAGGGCAATATGTATCATGGATCTGCTTGGCCTCGGATCACCTACCCTAAACCCAAAACCTTAGACCCTAAACCCTAAACCCTAAACCCTAAACGCCAGTACAGGAGCCTCAACACTTGTATACCTACAATCAGGAACCATACGGACCAGCATTACCTAGAGGGCCCATGAATACCACCGTTATGGAATCAGGTCCCAAAAGACAATCCTCATTATGGCTTTGGGGACCTAATTCCATAATAATGATGATCGTGGTGTGTGTGTATATATATATATATATATGGATGGACCCTCTGGGTTACTAGTCATTTACGTACTAGGCTTCCGTAATGTACTTTGCCTGATTCAAAACATGCGCCACGAGAACGCACGCAAGTCACGACTCCCAGTTCCAGCAGCACTGCACCGCACACCTCCAACAAAACCCTCAGCAGACTGCACATAACCCTAAGCCCTAAAAGCCCTAAACCCCAAACTCTTCGGAAAAAACCCTAAGCCCCAAAAGCCCTAAATCCTAAACCCTTCGGAAAAACCCTAAGCCCCAAAAGCCCTAAACTCTAAACCCTTCGGAAAAACCCTAAGCCCTAAAGCCCTAAACCCTAAACCCTTCGGAAAAAACCCTAAGCCCTAAAGCCCTAAACCCTAAACCCTTCGGAAAGCCCCCACACATCCCCAAAAAATCCTTTGCCCCAAACCCGGAACCACGGAGGCGTTCGAGCTTGAGACCCAGGTCCACAGTCTGCCAATAGGGCTTGGTGTTTCGGGTTTAGGGTTTAGGGTTTAGGGTTTGGGGTTTGGGGTTTAGGGTTTAGGGTTTAGGGTGCAGGGTTTCTAAATCCCTAAACCCTCTAAACTCCTAAAAGCCTTACCCGGCAACTTCTGGTCGTCCAGTTCCCTCAGAATCACCGGACTCACCAGTACCTATAGGCTTCATTGTAATTCCTTTTTGTCGTCTATATTTAGGATCCTATACGGTCACGTCCCAAAAAGGAACTACAATCGAGACTATAGGTATACCCTCAAACCCTATAAGCCCTTACACCCTTAAACCCTGAACCCTAAACCCAAGACACAAAGCCCTAAACCCCTAAACCCGCAACGGAGCCTATAGGTAGCCACGGCACCGTGACGAAAAAATCTGCTGTCTGCGCGTTCTTCTGGAACACCTTTTCCCAGGCCTCTTCTTGTAAAGATAGGGGTAGTTGTCCAAAATAGGGTCCCTGACAGGGTCCTGTTTATAAGGGTGCCGTGCTATATTGGGGACCCAAAAAAGGACCCTGATTTGGAGAACTATCCATATGGGGAGATGTACTGGGATTTAGGGTTGAAGAAGGTTTAGGGGTTTAGACGTTAGGGTCAGACTTAGGACGAGGGCGCTCGAACACTCCAAACCCTGCGCAAGTGGGAACCGCGAACAACACGGCCCCATTACCGTCTCAAAAAAAGTTGGTGTAGAGGGTTTACGCTTCAGGATGTTTAGGGTTCGGGGGTGTCGAGCCTCTCTAAACCCTACCCCTAGGGGATCATGCGCCTCTACTCGCATATAGTAACTAGGTGCAGAACCTGCATCCCAGAAGCCTGAACCCCTTTTAATCCGGGAAGTAGTAGCTCAACCCCTGACCCGCAGGAACGTCCTGAAAATTGCGGCAGCCTTCGTCACCTCTGCAATGAGCAGGGCCTCAGTGGAGACATTGTCCGTAACGATGAGAATATATTACAATCGGATCTTGCGGTTTACTAAAATGTGATTGTCAGAACTAACCCTAAGGAATCATGTTGGTAAGACGGGGGCGAAGCTAAGGTTGAAAGGTTGAGGAGTCCGGGTTTGGGGTTGAGGGTTTAAGGCTCAGGAACCGGATCCAGGCTTGGATGCCGAGCGATTGATTTTTGTTGGGACGTTTTCGATCCCTAAACCCTAAACCCTAAACCCTAAACCCTAAACCCTAAACCCTAAACCCTAAACCCTAAACCCTAAACCGGGCCCTAAACCCGAAACCCTTATTTTTGATTCCTGTGGTTAGCTGTGAGCTTGAAGATCTACGGTTGGATTCACTGTCTGGAACGGAGCCTCCTGAACAGGCTTGTTGAAGGTGCTCGCCGATAATCCATAGCGCACCGCGTTGTGCAGTGATTTCATCTATATTGGGTTTTGAGAAGGCATTCCACGATTTCCACTCTTTTCGAACCGAAGTATGTGGGGTCTTAGCCGGGGCCGCCGATGTTAAGCCTTATGCAACTGGAAGCCGACTGTCGCATGATTGGGTGCTGGTTGTAGATGGGCTGAGTCAGTCGAGCCCACACGATTATGCAATATATGCTAGTTCTGTGACCGGAGGAATGGAACCGCCCCAATAAGCTCCATTGAAGAATAAACCTTGAAACACAAGGTAAAGCAAGCCCCTGACAACTCTAAATTACTAAACCCTAAACCGTAAACCCTTGGGGTCTCTGGGTTAACTCCAAGCACCAATCGAACCGGGGCCCACGTAAAGGGCAGGCTGCATAGATGTTGTGGCCAAGAGGTTCATCTTCTGCTGCAGAGTCCCCATCATCTTCCTCCATGCATACGCGCATATATATATATATACATACATACACATGCGCATATATATATATATATATACATACATACACATGTGTATATATATATATATACACATGTGTATGTGTATATATATATATATATATATTAACCAGAGGAACTAATGTCCAAACAGAATATGCAAGAATACTAATGACCGCAGTAATATGCAATGATATGAGTAAGCAAGCCATGACTGACTGAGAGAGCTCACCGTTATGGAGTTCATGCTTCCAAGCGATGCCAACAGGAACGGGAACGGCTTCCACTCACGTCGTGCAAAACTCTGTGTTCCAAACTCTGCTGAGGCCGTTAGCAGCAACACTAGTAATTTAGTAGCTAGCAGGGGTGACAGTGAAAGAGTAACAGTGGTCCCTACTCTCACCCGCCCTTGCACGCTGAACGGAAACGAAGAAACATAATAGGCGGCTGATACGACATGAAGCGCAGTATGTCCTACCTGAAGACTGCCTATCAGTGCCCTTCACCGTCCTCTGTAACCAGCTTCTCGTCATCCTCCAGCAGAGCAGAGATGCGGTGAAGAGAGGCCAAACATATAGACGGACAGACAGGCAGAATGAGCCAAGAGAACACCAAACCAAACACATCAACAGAACGACCGAGAAACGCAAGCATCAACGTGCAGCATGAGGGTCTCTGAACTATTCGGGGGTCCATTGCTCATGAGCAACTGCCCTCTTAGTGGTAAAACTCCGACTCCTTACTGAGGATAATTTCGGCCCATCATATCCAGGTCGTCCGGGGATCCTGATTCCCCGTTAAACCCTAAACCCTACACCTTAAACCCTAAACCCCCCTTAAACCCTAAACCGACTCAACGCCCCCTCGGCTTTTGATGTGGTTACCTCTCGTAGAAACATTTTTATATATATATATATACATACATAAATAGGATTTAAGGTAGAGTTACCTCTTTGAAGAAATATACTTCCGCCATGGGGGGAGGAGCTTCCGTGCAATCCAGCAGCTTTCACGAGCGTGAACGCCAACCTGGCACGCGGGCTTGGTAAACCCTAAACCCTATACCCCGAATTCCGACGCCAGGGAACGAACAACTCTCTGTTGCAAGTTGCAAGATTTCGAAACTGGATGGGTCCTACAGTTCAACCCCAGCACCGGGCGGTTTCGGGTTCTCTGCTACACCCCACCTAGAGGCTCATCCCTCGATCTGTCGCACTTTTCTTTGCACCACTGCTTTGACGCTGTGCTCTGCCTGGGCTTGGGGTTACGATGATTCAATTGCCCTAATCTCAGAAACGCATATAAGACCCCTGGTCCCCGAACTCGAAACTCTATACTGCCGCGGACTGCAAAATCCGCATGTGCCCTTGATCCTCGACCTGTATAAGGACCATAAAGTTGCCATAAAGAAGACCCTTATCAAATCTGCCATCCACGGGGGCCTCTCATCTCTCGGCGAGGCCCTTGCAAAGACGTTTAGGGTCTACGGTCGCGGGTTAAGGGTTTCGGGTCTGGGGCCTAGTTTAGGGTTTAGGTGCTCGCTAGGCCCCGTTTTCCTGAAAGAACTAAAGTTTGAATAAGGGGATCATGGCACCCATTAAGCGTAAAAAGGTAAAAGGCTACCTGCTCCACGACGGATCCCGGTTTCGGGTTTGGGGCTAAGGCTTCTTAGGGTTCACCTGGGCTTGGGAGTGAAGTCGTAAGGTTTGAGAATTCAGGATCAAAGGTTTGAAGTCTTGAGGGTGTAGGGCTCGGGGTTTGATCGTAGAGCAAGGTGTGTTGCGACTGACGGTGCTGAGGGCTCTAGAACCGAGGATTGAGCCAAAACGTACTCGGGCCCTGAAACCTCGAAGCTCAACTAACTCCCTAAACTAAACCCTAAACCCTAAACCCCTAAACCCTAACCCAAAACCCTCCTACACAATCGAACTCGGAAGCCCACGTTGTCACCCGGGGCCTCAGGGTTTTGACTTTTTTGGAAACGCTTCGCCATCTTTATTGGAAGGTCATGGAGGGCTTCGCAGGGCTGCTATAGGCTTCTACCAGGATTGCCTTTAGGCGCTCGGGCAGATTGTTGTGAAGATTTGGAATTTGGTTGACAATCGTACAACATCGAAAAGTAATCCCGCATAGACACATCGATGCATCCCTTCCTGAACAACAGGGAGCTTTAAAACACAAGCAAAGACGAATCTTCCTGCAAAAGCAGCTCTGGACAACAGCACTTCACAGTCCGAAACCACAGAGAATGCAAAGCTTTAGACTAAGTAAGCCCTGATATACCAAAATCATAGTGACAGCTAGTAGACAAAACTTGAAACAGCTTTGACAACGGTGGAGACGAATCCCGTTTCAACACGGATTCATCGCGAAGTAACCGTTAGTAGCCCAACGCAGCAGACGAAGCTTAAGTACCATTTGGTTGTGTCATGGGTCCCGGTACCGCCACGACCCAGGTCGACACTTAATAGCAACACTCTCAGAGAAGGACAGCAAAATACAAATTCGCATGGCGGCAGCGTCAACAACAGTGAACGCAAGCCCCCAGCCAGCTAATGTGATCCCCTCCTTCGCTCTATGGCTGGATGTGGAAGCAGTGATAAACGATACTGCCACTGCAGCAAGCAAGAGTCAATCCCAGCATACGAGCCTCTGATGCATCACTCGCCACCCAGCTTATGCCGCTCTCACGCCAGCCATGCACAGCACAGCGTATAGGGTGTCGGGGAAGCTGAGAGTTCAATATAAGAAGTCTAGGAAAGCATTGCGGGGGATGGCTTGTGCACAGAGGTGTCATTGCCGTACGTACAGCTTTACGTGCGTATATACTGTGTGTATGTGTGCCTGCGTGTGTATATATGTATATACAAAGACACATCCAAACAAACCATTCTTCAGGCTTGACACCAGGAATGCCAGGGTAGCCATCGTTCTATTTGTGTTTTTGCAAAACCTGCTGCGTTGAATTCGGGACGTTTGCTTTCTCATGTTGCTGCGAGCCGACGCGTCCAGCTTTCGTGCGCGAAGAACAGCGTACACAACTTCTCGTTCCAAGTCTTGACTTAAGGGTCCAGGGCGTGGCTGTTGGAATAAGGGTCGGAGGTTAATTGGTGGCCTGAAGGCTAATCCTAGCCCTTCGCTCAGCACATTGATAAATTTAGCTGAAATTCCGAAACACTTATGTAAACGTGCGGAGTTTATGCGTTTAGTGAGTCGTTTGGTGCGTTCGGATTCAGATGGCCTTGCCAACCCATGTCGGTGATGTAGGTGCTTGAGAAATTAGAGTAGGGTTTCGGGGGCCATAGATCATAGTCGAGGCTAAGTATGCATAGGAGGCAAAAGGGAAGGATACTGCCATTGCTCAAAACTTAGGCTTCCATATTCAGCCAGCGATTAACCTACACTGCACCCCAAACCCCAAACCCTAAAACCCTAAAACCCCAAACCCTAAAACCCTAGAACCCCAAACCCAAAACCCTCAAACCTCAAAATCATATCTTGGGTTTGGGGTTGAGGGTGACCCGGAAAAAAGCTGTGCAGAAACCCGACTCCGGGGCTCTGAAACCGTGGATCTGAAGCTGGCTCTTCCCCCGCCCCGGGACGAAAGGTTCAGGGTTTAAGGGTTCGGGCTTTTGGGATTACGGGTTTAGGGTTTAAGGGTTTAGGCTTAGAGGGTTCAGGGGCTTAGAGTTTAGGGCTTATAGTGTAGAAGGTTCCGTGAGTTCAGACATGAAGGTTTCGGGTTGAGGGCTTTCGCCATGAGAGCTCAGCCTTTCCAGGCCAAGTTGAAGGTATCCTCGTCTCCGTGGTCAGAAACGCAAAGCTTCGCAACCAGTAATCAGTATACTGTAATAGGGTTTAGGGCTAGGGTTTAGGGTTTACCCTAAACCCTAAACCCTAAACCGTTTTAGGTTAGTAAGTCTAGTTCCAAAGATCGGGCCGAAACGGCAGTCTGGGTCTTCAAGTTCCTCTTCAAAGCTTCCACCCTGAAACCATACAGTCATGGGGCCAGGACGTCATGCTGCACGGGCTAGAGGCTTAGGGGTTCCAGATTCTAGAGTCGGTTGTAGGGTTTGGTGCTTCGATACCACGTGCTGCTTCGATTTGTTGACTCAGAGCTGGCACACCCACCATTTTTTCCACGGTGGACCACGGCGCCGGCATCGATCTCGCAGCGAACTCCTCAGGAGCAGCAGATGTTCTTTACGGTTTAGGGTTTAGGGTTTCGGTAGAGCTTAGGTGCAATGCAGCACAACACGTACAGAACCAACCGCAACAACAAAATCCTCACCAGGCGTCGGTGATCGGAAGCCGCAACTTTGGCGACGGAATACCGCTCACGTTCTCCAACGCGACAATGTGCCTGACCTGAGCCACATCAGAATCAAATTCAACCCGAAACAGGATCTTTGCCGTAGCATAAGGACCTTAAGAATTAGACTAGGGCAGGGTTTGGGGGTTTAATGGTTGTAGTAGGGCGCCCTAAACAATAATATAGCTATTATTCCGGCCCTTACATTAAACCCTAAACCCTGAGAGCCAGAGATGTGTTTTTGAGTTTCGGCTTCAAGGCTTGCGGTGTTGCGGCTCAGGCTCTAATATAGGGGCCTTTAATATAGTTAGAATAGGGTTTGGGGGTCCTTTATAGTAATTATAATAAGGAACCCCAAAATCGTATAGGTAATTATTGAAGTTTTATATTAGATGTGCTTGGGTCTTAAGATTAGGAGTATCTGGGCTCAGCTCCTTCGTGGTCATCATGAGCCTCTATGAATTTTCATCCTTGGTCCTGAACGCCATTATCTTTGTCACCCACCTCCCCCCTCGCCATCACCATCCTCATTGCTGTCCGTATCACCCACATCATCACCATCGTAGTTTCAATCGACCTCATGACCATCGTGATCATAACCATGACCCAGCTGCTTGTCCAGCCGGAAGCCAGGTGATATCCGCGACACCTGGGAAACTGATATGGAAGTCAGCATATCGGGTAATACTATCCAGAAAAATCCCCTTATGGTTCTGCTATGTTCTACTATATTGCACCCCAGGACCTGTATAGTGCCTTTATGGTTCGACTTTGATACACCCCAAGACCTCTCCAGTGCCTGTGGAATAATACTGTACCCCGAATGATTCAGGCTTTTAACCTGCTGCACAACTTGTTGCAAGCCGGCAGCCTCTTTTGCTCAGGCAACCGACTGAATCACGGGAGGCTTCCTTTGCAAGCAACTTGCTGAGAATAGCGGTGACGCGAGACCCCAACTCAAAAACCCTACTAAACCCCAAAGCCTAAACCCAAAACCCTACTAAACCCCAACGCCCAAAACCTAAACCCTACTAAACCCCAAAGCCCAAAACCTAGACCCAAAACCCTACTGAACCCCAAACCCTGACCCGGCATCGCAAGCACAGGATGACCCCAGACAAGAAGAATAAGTGCACCCTCTGCCTTAATGTAGGGTTTTTAATTATAGCCCCCATAGTAGTTCCTTTTTCAGGTTCATGTTTAGAATCCTATAAGGTAATCCCAAAAAGGAACTACTATGGGGCCTATGGGTAATAATTAGAACAGGGTCTGTATAATATAACTATAGTAAGGAACCCCCCCCAAAAAAAATAGCATAGGTAATTATTTAGGCCCCCATATTATACCGAAACCCCGACCGAGCCCTAAACCCGCACTCAAGTGGGCACAAGTATAGAGATCAACCCTAAGTTACCCTCCCCCAACTTCCTGTTTCACATGGCCGAGGTGCTTAAATCTCTGTCTCTTCGAAAATCTCGGGGTGTGCACGGCACACCGGTCGAACATCCCAGTTGTAGCCTTTTCAGGGCTCAGGGCTGCTTCATGCGTACAAATAAAGCAAACTGTTGCTCAACGAAACCATTTCGAGTAAAAAGGCCCCCATTCTAAACGAGCGTCGTCAAATCCGTCGCGCCGAGCGACGCTCAACAGCGGCGCTGACCAGTAAGAACCCTAAACCCTAAACCGCACGCGGTACAGTGGACAAGCAAAACCTCCTTCCGAAAGGGTCCTAGGTACTGTTATCAGGGATATTTTCCCTAATTAATTAATCATATTAAGGATTCCTACTATAGAACCCCCTAAACCCTAGACCTATCCATTGTACTATATCAGTACTTTGGACCCTTTGGGCTTTATACCAACAGGTGGGCCCCAAGCGTCCGAATCTTGCTTGCTGGGAGGTACTTGGAGGATCATGGGACTTAGTAGCTAGGGTTACAAATAAGGTAAGTATACTTACAACCCCAATTAGGGTACTTATAACCCTAGTTACTAAGTCCCATGATCCTCCAAGTAGGGTTTCCTAGACCTTCACAGATGCTCAAAGATGAGAGAGATCCTCTTAGGCACAATGAGGGAACGTATCAAGTGTCCAAATTGCAAAAAGGCCCAAAAGGCCTAGCTAGTAATAAGCCGTTTCAAGCTTCAGGGACCTAATAGCCCTAAACTGCTTGAGCTTCGGAGCTTACGCAGCCCCAGATGCACTAGCCGTTGAGGATATGCCTGTGCATGGGGCTGCTTTGTGTATTTGTTTTTGCAGGGCATAGCAGAATATTAGAAAACAGCTTGCTGACACTTAGTTAAGCTTCTGGTGAAGCCGTGAATCCCCGGACCGTTTATGACACAGACCTGCGCGAGAAGATGTGACATTCCGAACCATGAACGTCCATAAAACTCCCGAACCCTTATAGTACCCGTTTCGATCCTTAGGCAGCCTGGTAGGACGCTCTGCAAGTAGACCATGTAGAGGTAGACCCAGATAACTGCTACTGCCACCTTTCAGATCAGCAGCGGCTGGCATCAAGAGTCAGCGTCTGGATTTAGGGCTTAGGGCCCTCATAGATCCCTTTTACATGGCCATCAAGACACCTGCATTGTGCTTTGGGGATCCGCATTTGGAGGCTTATAGAAACGACGAATGATCGTTCACCCTTTCTGTGGATGGACGGGAGAAGCCGCCTTCTTCGGGTCACTTGTTTTCTGCATCGCCCGAGAGCAATGATGACCATGATGGTAGTGCTGATATTGATGTTGATTTTGAAGAAGAAGATGATGATGATTATGATGATGGCGATGATGATGCTGATGGTAACAGTAGTTAATAAAAAGCGACTTGTATACTACAGATAACCATACGCCAACTACTAGCACACCTAATGGTAGTTTTCGTACTACGTGGCCATAATAGGACGAGTCAAGGTACACTTCTTATGACATTACCATTACCAATACACAAAAGATGGGAACAGTAATCGCACAAGCACAGCACATATACTGATGGTCAGAGTTAAACAGGTATCAGAATATAACCGTCACATTAACGAGAAGACGAAAGACCGTACAACTACGAGTACTCGACAGCAGCAGAACAGTGCCAAGGAGGTCTTAGCTCGAGACGGCAGACTCCAAGGATTGACAGTGACATGCAAGGTTTATGCTTGGGATCGCCGTTTCAGGGCGAGGCCCAAAAGCCCTGACCCTGGACACCTTCAAACCCACCTTAACCTCCTAACCTCTGACCCCTAGACCCCTAGCCCTGAAACCCCAACCCCCGCCGCAAAGCAGGTTCACCCAGGTAGGAAGTCCAAGCTCATGGGTTGAATGCACAGTTTACCCCACTTGACAGCCC